CCGCAAATTGGCAAAAGCCAATCGAGCCTTTTGTATCCGTGCAGAAATCTCATCGGCAACTAACCCACCAGGGTTGATCCTACTTCCCAGGTAAGTGAAGTGGTCAACACACTCAACCACTTCACTCTCTATTGTTAGCCGCGGTGGGGCACCGCTGAAGACCAGTCCTGGAGCAAAAATTTGCATTTGGGTGGTGAAAATCGCATCCCAAACATTCTCAAATTCCCACTCAAAGTGTTCAGAAGACTCTGCATCTCATCAGTCAGCGTCTTCACCTAACAGGACTGGCTATGTCACCTGCATATTCTAGATGTAATGAAAATTCACCTGTGATTTGGTCAACGTCTGTGTAATTAGGTGACGAGAGGGAAACCTCCATAAGAATATCTATGAGTGTCTTTGAGCATCGAAGATTAGCTAGTCTCTGACTTTTCGATATGGGTATCGACTTTTTCGACTGTTCAATTTATTCAAAGTCATTACAGCCAAGTACGCATAGAAAGCTTAAGATTTATACAAAGTATTAGCATTTCATATTTTTTTTTAAAGGATTTATCGCATTAAAATTCATCACAGATTGAAGAACTTAGATATAAACAAAAATTGATGTGGAAAATTTTGAAAATTTATAATGTACGTTCGCTGGGTCATGTGTATTGATGCATAATATCAATTCAATTTTTTTTCTTGTAATGTAGATGAAATTGTTTGGAAAAATAACAGGCTTCATTCTATTCACAAACAGATTCTTTTTAAACAACACATGTTTCACGTAAATTACATTGTTATACCTTAATTAGGCTTTAGAGAAGTTTACTGTTCTAGTGAAAAGAAACATAAGCTATCCCTGAAATTGTTCTACAAGTAATTAATCATAAATTATTGTAGAATTAATTTGGTTTTGAGAGTCATGTGTTAAGTATCCGGTCAGATTTCTCCACTAATAAGGTGATAATTGAGACATATATCACTGGTACATATACTGATAACAGATGTAGTTATCTCTATGACCACCTAAGTTTGTCATGATGTTAACTAGCATAGCCGAAATATTTGAAATAGTTATTTTGATTAGCTGTGGCCAGTTATTAACTATCATTATTTTACCCTTGGGTTCCTAATGGAACATACCACTTCACTAGCACGTCTACATTACACTCTCTTCTCTCAAATCTTTTCAACCCGGTTCCATGACTGCCCACAACCTCTCATTTCCTCCTCCTGTAATTTGTTGGAAATACTTTTCGTAACGCTCCAAGTCTCTTAACCATCACATAGAAGCACTGACTGACTTGACATTATTGTTGAGAATCCATATGTTGTTCACACTTTATGCTGAGTGCAAAAGATCGCCACATTGGTTTCAAATTATTGAAGACCTGCCTTCCCATCCAGGCGTCTTTTACGCCCTCATCTATGGCGCCTGTATTTGAAACGATGCTGCCTAGATAGGTAGATGAAAGAGGCCACTTCCATTAAGTTTCTCCCACTCATGGTGACTGGAGCTTGTTGGTGGTGGTGGTGTTGGTTGGGTGTCATCATCACCTCTGTCTTCTTTACGTTCACTTGACATCTCGTCCTTGTCCCGGCCAGTTAGCTTATGGAAATTGGCCTCTCTGACTTGCTTCACTGCTAAGATCCTATTCAACTGCTTGCCCTAAAGAAGGAAATCTAAATACTTTTGAATAATTTACACTTCAATAAATCTGAGTATTGGGAAAGACTATTGAATCCAGCACAGTTAACAATTCAATCAGCGGCTGTTATATCGCATCAGTAATAGCAATATGGAGTATATTTTAGTTTAACTAATGTGTCAACTGTCTCTGTATTTGATCTACAAAATTTTAAATGTCATGCCAAAAACTATGATTGATCATTTCAGTTAGGCTACACAGAATTATTCACTGGCTTACTTTCACTTAATCCAGTGTACATTCTGAAAATACACTAAGAGATGATAGTAGATGCCTAGATTATAACAGTAGGAAGAAACAATTATTTGTTACCGGAATCATTTCTGCACTGGATAAATAGTAATTGGTTACCTTTTTCATTTCTCAAAAATCAAACATATTGTAAACATTAAAAAATAATCTAACTTATAGTATATGTTAATGCAACTTTTCCAAGAAATAGTTATCTGATTTCAAGTTGTTATTCATCGTAGACTGACATCAGTTGGAGGAACAGAGGAAACCTGGGAGCACTGGACAGCTGTTTTGTTCTAGTGTGTTACTCCTCAGCAGTGCGCGCCCACGACCCCGCCAGGGATCGAACCCGCGACCCACACTAGGACGAAACAGTTGTCAATTTCTCCCAGGTTTCTTTTGTTCCTCCAACTGATGTCAGTCTACGATGAATAACAACTTGAAATATTTCCAAATCCCCACAACTCCCTCAAAATTCAATTGAACTAGTGCACATTGGTGACTAGCTTCGAGAAGTATTCCCGAAGTCCCAACGAGAAGTCGTGACCGGTTAGGGGCAAAGCCTGATGGTCGTGAGGACAGTTACTCAACAATGACATTAGGTGGCGGTTGTGCTATATCGTGAGCTAACAGAAGTTGGAAATATGGAGCATTGGATTGTGACCCAGTGGGTCAATGGTAACGCGCTGGTCGCGGAACCTGAAGGTCACAGGTTGGATCCTTGGAGGACGATATCATGGGTGCGCACTGCTGAGGAGTAACACACTAGAACGAAACATCTGTCCAGTGCTCCAAGGTTTCTTTTGCTCCTTCAACTGTTGTCAGTCTACGATGAATAACAACTTGAAATATTTCCAAATCTCCACAACTCCCTTAAAATTCAGTTATGCATAGCAATTAGTAGTTTCTAGATCACCACGTTGTTTGTATGTTGTTAGTCATTGTTAGGATAGAAAAGCACATGTAAGTCTGATGATGAGGGTTCATTTATCCAGTTTGAATATTTACTGTTCCAGTAATAGACATATGATCCATCCAGCGACAAACTACCTTCTGCTGTGATATTCTTTTACAGTCTTGCTGTTAACCCATCTAACAATCTTTTGAAGACATCCTAATGGTATACGAGAGTATTTTTTTTATGATTAACTGACATCTAAATAGTCAAAAGGGAACAATCTGATGAAAAATGCTTGATGACATATTTTTTGGTAGCCCAAAAATTAGGTGAGCCGTATGTGATTCAGTTAGATGTTCTAGAGTATAATCTATAGTCACAGTATTTAAGCTACAACTGATAAAGCCTAATAGTTTAGACGGGTGAAGAACAGATTAAGACACGAATGAAACTGAGATGTTGAATTAACAGACTTGCTTTATCTCAGCTAAATCCACTACTTTCTAACGTGCTGTACTCTTCTATAGCGAAAATTCTCCTTCCAAATGGTTGCACTAAAAATGCAGAAAGTATTTCTAAAATTCACTAATTCTTGGATATTACTTTTCTTCCTAGTACGTTTTTTATTATTTCTCCCTTGGGTTTCTAGTGGAACACACAGCATCAGTAGCACACCTCTATTGCACTCTCTTCTCTACAGTCTTTTGAACCTTGCTCCACGACTCCCCAGAAGCTTTCATTTCTTCATCACATCATCTCTATGTCACCCTCAGCTGGGACATCCAACTCGTCGTTTACCATTCGGATTACACTAGACGGCCTGGCCTGTCGCGTGATGTCCCCAGTCGGCCTTCTCAGTGTATGCCCAATCCAATCCATCTACACTTCCTTCCACTGCATAGTTGTTGAGTGATACCTTCTTCGTTGGTTCGTTGCCAGAGTTCCTTGTTGCTTATTCTGATTATTCTGGCATCTATCTGATCTTCAGTATCGAGTGAGCGTAGGCGGCAGTTGCTGACGAATGTCTGTAGTTTGTTGGAAATGTTTTTCGTGAAGTGGCAAATCTTTTAATAATCACATAGAAGCACTGACTGACTTGACATCATTGTTGAGAATCTGTATCTTGTTCACGCTTGATGCTGAGTGCAGTGCAGTAGATTTCCATACTGGTTTCAAATTAATGAAGACCTGTCTTCCTATCTTTCCAATCCAAGCATCTTTTATGTCCACATCTGTGTCGCCGCCTGTATTTGCAACGATGCTGCACGCTCTAGGTATGTGAGAGACTACTTCTTTCAAATTTCTCCTGTTGATGGCGATTGGTGCTTGTTGTTGATGCTGTTATTGCTTCGGTACCTTCACCACCTCTGTCTTCTCTACATTTACTTGAGGTTCCGCTTTCGCTGCCTCTACTATCAACTTGTTGGTTTTTGCCCATAGATTTTCCAGTTTGTGCGACATAAGACATAAATTCGCGGTGAAATCCAAATTTTCTAGGCTCTTTTCATCGGCCCAGCCTATGCTGATCTTCTCACTCCTCACAGTTTGCTTCATGATCCAGTCCAGTTGGTCAGAATCACAAGGACCATAAGTGATAGTAGGCAGTCCTGTCTTACTCCTGTTCCCTGTCTTCACTTCAAAGGCTTCACTCAGGTTTGCATGTGAACCACTTGGCATGTGGCCTTTTCATATAGCTGTTGAATGATACTGATAAAGGTTTGCGGTACTCCATAGTGTTGAAGCAGCTGTCTGGGAAATTACTTCCCTATCGACGTTGTCGAACGCCTTTTCAAAGTCGATAAATTTGGGATAGAGTTGAGTTGACTGCCATTCTATGCTCTGTTTCATAATGATGCGTAGCGTAGGTTTGCAGTTTGATCCGCTGTTGTCTTCGCATCTGTTTTCAGTGCCTCTGGAGGAATTTCATCTGGTCCTGTTGATTTTCTTGTCTTTCAGTAATCTTATGGCATTCAGGACATCACTTCTGTTTTCTTTGGAGGGTTTGTGTTCACTGGTAATTCTGTGGCTGAGCTGCTGGTGGTATTTCTGGACGAGTTGCAGGTGGTGATCGATTCAGGAGCTTTTTTAAGTGGCCAGTCCGTCGTTTCCCTTGTTTCTACCCTTTGGTGACTAGGTTTCCTTCACTATCTTTCATTCCTTTCATCTGACAGATAGTAACCTGGTTATTTGATATAATGTTCTGTTCTGCTTCACTTGTCAGTGGAAATGCCTTTTGTCTTTCAGTGCACTCTTCTTCAATTCTTCGTCCAGTGTTTTATAGGTTGTATTCAGCTTCTCACTTCTTTGTTCATCCTAGTACTGGTTCATCTTCAGTTTCTCTATCTTCCTTTTCTCTATCAGCTTCCCTGTTTCCGTCGAGATCCACTTCTTGTCTTGTTTCCTTCTCCTTCCCCATACGGTTATGCAGGTTTCGTTTCATGTCTCTTTCAAAGACTTTCAGTGTTCTTCCGAGCAAGTTTCTTCAAGGATGTTGCTCAATGTCTCCCATTTTGTCCTGATGACTGGCTGACGTGAATATGACGTTCGTAGTTTCGTCCCTCAGTTCAGTTTCTGTTCTGGGTGTTGAACTTAAACTTGAACTGTGCTCCATCACCAACTTCTTTGAAGGCTTTTAACTTGATCCCGAAGGTAGGTTCCTTATACCAGGTGGTCTGAACCTACATCTCCTCCCCTTCATCATCTTGTCTCCAGTAGGCTGTGTCTACATCTCCACTTTCTTTACATTGAGATGAAGTCGATCTGATTTTAGTGTGTCCTGGTGTCTGGTGAAATCCATGTCACTTTGTGAACACCCTTGTTTGTACACACTGGCCCCAATCACCATATCGTTGAATGTACAGAATTCTGCAAATAGTTCTCCATTCTCATTCATTTCACCAATTGCTTCTCGACCCATGATGAGTTCTCTTCCTGTGTTGTCCGCTCCCAGTTTGGCATTCATGTCACTCCACACATTAGAATTTTGATATCACCAACTGGAGTCTTGTCCAGTACTGATTACAGTTGTCTGTAGAATTTCTCCTTCTTCTCTTCTCTTCATTTGCATTATTTGTGAGTGAGTAGCGTAGAATTGGCATTTAATGGTTGTGACTTTCCTTCTTTTCGAATTGAATCTTGCTGTCATGATCCTGATGCTGGAGGAGGAGATTAGTTCCCATTGCATGAGAGAGAGCTTTCGATGTTCTTGGAGACATCATGATAGCCACTCCGAAACCCAGTGTGCTCGTGGTTGTCATGTCGTCTGTATGACAATGTCGGAGTAGATTATTGACTCCTCTCCAGTTGATAGTTTAGAGGTTCCATTTCATTTGCTTTCGCAGATTCCTAGTTCGACATTTCCATGCCAAACCTCCTCATCTCTTTTGCAATCTTGGCAGACTTTCCAGCTAGCCAGCTTCAAACATAGTGAGGACATCCCATGTCCCCATGTTTGCTTTCGCTATCATGGAGGGAAGAGAAGACACATCGGCCAATTGGTTTCCCGAAGACTTTCACCAACCGGCGTAATTTCGTCTCTCCGATTTCAATGAGGGATAAATTTTTTATATTTTTTATAATTTCTTTGTGCTTTGAAGTTTTTTTAGGGATTGTATCGGTTTTCCGGTGTAGGGTTGCTAACCCTATGCCCAACCTTCCCTGTTTATTCGGGCTTAGGATCGGCTAGTAACTAGTGAGCTAGTTAACCTGGTGAGGTTTTCCTAGTACTCTGTATTCATATTATTCAGTGAACATCTTCCATCCAATCATATGTAGACATATATGTTTTAAGAATTACTTTTTGTCTAGTGTCTATATTTACAATCTGCTTGTTTGTAAATTTGCTTTTATGTATGACGTATGTCTACATATCCACATTGATGTGCGGTATACAGCTTAAAAAGGTCTACTGTATTTCTTCAATTAGTTGAAATCTGCTTTCTCCAGCCAAATATTTCTGTCTACGTCCTTTTGGCAAAGCTGTATCTCATAAAAAGTAATCCATTCTAAAACTGTTTTTATAGAAACTTCCTACAATCGTGCTAAGCAACTGATTATATCACCACTGCGTCTCTATATTTCAATTTTACAATGAGTGATTCAGAAGAAATAGTAATAACAGCTGGAATGTCAGGCACCAGTTCACGTATAATATTCATACTTTAGTGAATTAGACAAATAAAACAGGATATTATACATGAAGATTAGTCTTGAGATGGCTTGATTACTTTGAACCCATAGACCCAAAAATTTGCTTTTTTCGTTCGGAATGCCGTCTTTTAAGAAAGTTGTTTTTCTGATGACAACACCAGCTATCAGTTCTACAGATCATACACACTGATCAAGTCTCCAACTACAATAGCAACAAATCAACAACACACAAAGTCAGTTGCTTGAAGACTGTACTCAGAAGAGCGAGAACACACTGCAGCACAACAACACGGATAAACGAAAAAAATGACTTGATGTCCACCGTGAAAAAGAACGTCTACCCAAGAAACTTTATCACAAGATGCCTATCCCGTACATCATCAACTACAAAGTCGTTCACAGAAATCAACAGATGAATCATCCTACCATAATGCACAAAGAATATATGAGAAATCACGATAAGATAACTGAGACCAGTTGGAATAGGTGTGGCTCATAAACAAACAAATTCCTTCCAAACACTATTATGCAGACCAAAGACTGCAACAACCAAAGAGGAAAAACCGAATATTATTTACAAAATCAACTCCAATAACTGTAGTCAACACTACATTGGAGAAAGTGGTGACCTTTGTCTACATGAACACCGATTGGCTATTAAACGTCACATACAACATTTCGTCACTCAGTTTGAGGCACGTGGATAACAACTATGGACATGAATTCAATTTCGACAATGTTGAAATTTTAGACAGAGAAAACAAAATATATCAGAGAATTCCTAGAAGTTTGGCATTCAGGTCAGTCAGTCAGTCAACAATCAACAGACGTATAGACATAGATCGAATCTATCAACCAGTAAGAAAGATGAGAAACGACAGAAAGGTCAGAGATCCCATCAGGCAGAGGGACTGCCAACAGGAAAATCTATACATTCAATGACTTAACAATCAAAGGAAACAACCAATCATAGACCACTTCGTCAAGGCAAGCTACTAAGATACTCACGGAGAGATATTGACAGGTCACTTCATACTGGAGTTAGAGCTGATGATGTCACTGTCTGGAAGGAAGATGAAAGCTCCAGGGTTAAACAACCCAGCTCAGAGAACACAATACATCCAAAACAATCAGTCTGTTTCATTACTCTTTCAACGAGATGGTACTCAGTTAAATTACCTTTTTTGTCTTTGAATATAAGACAATTTGTATGTGTAAACTGACTAACAGTTTAAAATCCTTCCTAAACGACATTACATCAAATATGTGCAATACAAGGAGCTTAATATTTGATTATGAATTTAAATGCTTCAACATACAAATACAAACGTTTTATTTGCTTGCATTAACATGCATTTTCATCAATTTCCAGTGTTTACCGCAAAATGTTCATATACTAACTTTGCTTCATTGAGGAATTTAAGAAAAGAGTTAGTAATCTTTCTGCAGCCGCCATTTTACTTTCTTTACCATTCTACAAAGTCTTTAAATGTCTTCTTATCTTATTAACTTTGAAGTATACTTCTATTTTGGAAAAGTTTAGAGAATTATTTAGCCACATTAGGTATATGAAGCTGATCCCTTATGGATTTCAGTTATTGACAATTTCATACAATGTGTAACAAGTAGTAAGTAATTAGACTTATAGCTGTTTACCAAAAACATATTTGTACATATGAGGAAACAGATTGTTTTGGAGCAATCAAAGCTGTGTTTCTTGATTTTCACAGACTAATTTTCTTTAGTTTTGTAGGCTTATTTCCTCTTTTTATGAAAAAATATGGAATTGCATTGGAGAAAAAAGATGAAATTGACCTTATGTTGATGCATTTTGATAGTTTAAGTGCTCATTGGAAAAGCTAATAGTTTTCTTTAACTGGACTCGTTCTTAGTGATTCTCAAGTGTCAGCGCACTAACGACAATCACAATAAACAATAATATGAAGTTTATCTGTTATATTCATGTAAGTACTATTTAGTGTTATAGATTACCTTATTGTTAAGTTTAGACGAAAATAGAAAACTGATCTAGAAGTAGTATTCATCATCGACTTATATCAATTGGAGAACCACTGAAAATCCAGGAGCACTGGACAGCTGTTTCGTCCTCGTATGGGACTACTCAGCAGTACGCACCCACGACCCAGCTAGGGATCGAACTCAGGACCTTCAGGTCGTGAGTGCGTACTGCTGAGACGTCCCATACTAGGACCAAACAGCTGTCCAGTGCTCCCGGATCTTCAACGGTCCCTCAAGTGATGTAATTGCATGATGAGTACTACTTGTAAATTAAAAAATTCCCATTCATCTCAAAAATAGAAAACTGATCGTTTCATTCAAGGAATTTTTAATTTAGCTAACTTTAGCTTAAATTAGTCTACAGAATTCTTTTATTGCATGGCCTTAGGGTTCTAAAACTCAAAATGTGTTTAAGGTTTTTGTCTTTACGTTTTTATACTTTGAAGCTGTTACAATAAAACATTGTGCAACCCTTTTTTTATCACAAAATACTAATTTGTAAGTAGATAAATGAGGCATCTTAGTTAGGCTGTCCACGGTTAGTTAATCATAGTAAACTGCTGAAGTTAGACTTGATTTGTGATTGAATAGAAAATTCACTGACCAAAATAATCTATCTGTTGCAAAGGTTAAAGGTGATGCAGCTAGTAAGATATACTATTGGACAATCTGAGTAGTTGGAAAGCGTTCAGGCTGACCCGTTTACTTTATCAACCAAATCAGAGTAGTCTAAGCAGCGAACTTCTGTTTCGCTCTTTTGCGAATGAGCTTATCATTGATGTACCCGAAAAAATTCAGCTAAAACAGGCAAATTATTTTAGATCACCTGAATTTGGCTAGTGTAGTTAAAACAGGATGGTTAATCTGCGAATGATTTTGCTAACTGGAAGGTTTCTGTTGACACATGTCACAGCTAAGTGCTTAGCAACTACCCAACTGTGGTTTCAATAGACTTTCCGTTGGAAATCATCCATCATTTAAGATCAGAAAGTGTGATCTCTGACACCAAAGTTTCATAGACTGGTGAAATATACTGCTGAACAACATGAGTAGTTAAAAATCATTCAGGCTGATCTCCAGATGTTGTTGGTCCATATCAGAGCTATTTAAGCATTTGACTGGCTTTTCGTCCTTTCAGGCCAAGCTGAGATTTGAGAAATGTTAAAGTGGATCATAACCTCGCCTGGTTAACTAGTTCACTAGTTACTAGCCAGTCCTAACCCCGGGTAAACACAGAAGGTTGGGCATACGGCTAGCAACCCTACACCGGAAAACAAATCTAACCGCTAAACAAACTTCAAACCACAAACAAAATATAAAAAATAAAAACAAAATTATTCCTCACTGGAATCGGAGAGGCGAAATGACGCCAGTTGGTGAAAGCCTTCGGGAAGCCAATCAGCCGGGTCGATGTGTCTTCGCTTCTCTCGATGAAAGCGAAAGTAAGGGTGGGGACATGGAATGTCCGTACGATGTTTGAACCCAGCAAGGCAGCCCAGATTTCAAACGAGATGAGAAGGTATCACATTGAAGTGCTTGGAATTTGCGAAGGCAGATGGAATGGGAGTGGACTCTCCAAACTGTCAACTGGAGGAGAGTCAATAATCTACTCCGATATTGT